GTAAAATTGAGGAACAGCTGGTAAGAATCTCTAATGACCTTTATTATTAGATTTATTTTACTGCTGCTAATCACCCCACATTCAAAACTAAACCATATGACTTTACTCAAAATGTTTAAAGCTACAGAAACTACATGCGGTGGTGGTGAAACATGTTTGAATGTTATGTTATTCTCTCACATTTAAGAAATCACATTAAAGTGGCATTTCTTTTACAAACCGCCATCTTGTACCAACTTTGTTTTCCCAGACGGACGTCATCGTAAACACTACATCACTAGAACGAGACTTGAAGATTGGGGAAATCTCCAATGCTTTATTGCTGAAAGCTGGTAATCAAATGCAAAATGAAATATATAAAGTCTCTTTTACTGGTCGTTTACTCATCACGAACTCCTACAACCTGAAATGTAAAAAGGTGTTTCATACCGTTTGTCTTGAGAAATGGAGATCCCAACACAACACAACACCACAGAAGGTACAGTGAGTTTAACTGATATGGGGCATTTCAGTTAAGAGATAATTTTTTTAGATCATGAAAAGATTGAAGTCCTAAAGAAAGTCATTGATATGTATTAAAGTGTTAAAGTTGTACTGTAATAGAAGCATTAATGTGTCTGTGATTCATTCATTACAGGTTCTTTACGATTCAGTAACTGACTGCTTAAAGAACGCAGCGAATAACGGATACAAGTCAATCGCCTTTCCTGCCATCGGCACCGGAAACCTCGGCTTTGATAAAAAAGAAGTTGCTGCGATCATGGCAAATGCAGTGGTCGACTTCGCCCCCTACTGCCCAACGGAGATTGATGTTATGTTCATCATATATCCGTCTGACGATCAGACATATAAGGTTGTAAATTGCAAAGATGCTTTCACGATAGTAGAATAATTATGCTGTATCGGCCCTGTGGGTACACACTACAGTTATTAATACAAACCAAACTTTTAAACAACAAAAAAGGACAGAGCAATAAGGAAAGTTAGAAACAGTAAAGCAGTTTCGATGTTGTATAAAGCTGCTGTTTCCTTATTGAAGCACCATGTAATATCTCTGTTAGGTGGAATGTGGTTTTGCATTCACTGTGATGTGAGACACTCCTGTTAAGAATTGTTGACTGGGTTTGTCTGGTCACGCAAGTTTGGTTTCCAACACTCTTATCCAGTTTGGAGAGAAAGACAGAAGTTAAGGAAAGGAAGTTAAGCATGCTGTGGACCTTAAAGAAAGGCCCATCAAAAGAAATATGTTAGTTATTGTATCCAAACCAACCAAAGTCACACAGAAACTAATCACGGCAGTGGTAGACCAGCAACTTCCATTTTTCTCCTTGTAAAGTGACTGTTTTTGTCAACGGAGTCTGGTGGCTTTGAAGCATGGATATAGCAACTTTCAGTCAACGTATAGCATTGAACATATTCTTAATAAAAGTAACACTTGATCTGATTAGGATTTTTTGAGGTGGGCCTTTTCGTTGGTGTCTAAAACATATTTTACCGCGGCCTTCGTCCACAGCAGTACATGTATTAACTTCATTAGCTTTTGTAACTCCAGTACAAACATACATACAAAACACAATCTACTTAAGTTAAACACTTACTATGATAAGGTACCTCCATCATAATATTACAGAATGCATACTATTATTTGTATTAATGAACTTCTCTTTTTAGGCTTTTGAGGATCAAATGGTAACTCTCCGGCAAAGAGCACCTCGTCCACAGGGTAATACAACAATTCAGTCATCATTTCATGTACACAGAGATCAATTATGATACCCTTGTAGTGACGTCCATATGATACTGTATGTGTTAAATGCAGATGTTGAAGTCGATAGAAACCTGTAAAGTGCAGCTAATGTAAACAATAGTGGGAATGCATGTTTACCCATCCTGTATTGCGATAATAAAAACGATTGTGATTCTAATTTGCAGAAACCGGTGCAATGATGTATTCTTCACTGAAATATGAGCACAGAAATGACTCCCACAGCAGCAGAGCACCCACCCCACAGATCACTCTGGGTGGCCCCTCTGAAGAGCCAATGCTCGAGGCTAAACGATGGCTCAGCGGCCTTTTCTACAAGTCCTATAGCCTTGTCAATATCAGCAACAACTTCATCCAGCACTTCGGCGAGCGAGAACATCTGCAGCTATACCGTCTAATGGAAAAAGGCGTTGTTATTGAGGAGTTGTTTGAGGGAGGTCATGCTCGCATAAGCGTAATGGGGAATTCAAGTGAGGATGCCGTAGTGGCCGGGTTTCAGGTGGAGGCCATGCTCTGCAACGTCCAGGAGGAGTTTGTCAGGGATGAAGAGGATGCCATGTGTGAGGCTTTGGGCGAAAAGAGAGTGGACTTTGAAAGAAAGAAAGTTGATTCCTCGAGCAACAGATTATCTGCCTTCAAAAAGGAAGGGCTGTGGATTGTGAAGGTAATAAATAAATATAACAATAATATATATCTCTTCAGCTTGTGTTAACCACAGTCTTTATTTCAGGCATCTAAACCAAATCAACTTTATAAACTGTTCATTTGGAAGTGCTCTCTTCCGCTTTAGGACTCATTCCTGCACAACTACATTATGTTGATGTCACTATTAGATTTGAATGTCTTTACATAAATAAATCATGCACCAGTCAGTTTTAAAGCTGTCATATTCTCTTATCTTAAATCACTCATCAAGCAGTGACATTTTTATTTATTTGTTCAGGTGGACAAAGTGGTAAACCCTTCATTGAAGAGCATTTATGACCAGAAGGCAACACAGCTACGCTGCTCAACTCAAAAAATGTTCCAACTCATCCCTGCACAATTCTGTGAGATGGTTTGCAAAATTGGATTCCATGCAGAGTACGCACCACCTGGCGGTAGGATATCCCTTTTTAAATAGCCTTTTATTATACAAAATTATTTATGTTTGGTTGACGTACAAGGTCTTGAATGGTACATACAGAAATGATACAGAACACTCAATCTAGAAAGGAAGTACAACAACATTTTGAAAAGTGCACTTAGTGGAGTGCAGATCTCTGCCAGGCCTGTCTCTGTCCACTCCCAAACAAAGCAGAGTTGAATCTCACTCAAGTGTCCCGATTGAGGCACTCATCGTATAGTGTCTAACTTAAGTGAGAATAAAAGGTGGGTGATCAGGATTCAAGGACATGTTTTTGTCATTCTGCAACACAGGGTTGCAAAGAGGTATTTAAACAAACAGACATTTATTTATTTATTTATTTAGGCTTAAAATTTAGATCAAAGAGGTATTTAAACAAACAGACATTTATTTATTTAGGCTTAAAATTAGATCAAACTTCTTGAAATCAATGTGTGAATTTGAAGGGCTGTTTTACCACATACATTTGATTTATTGCTGACTTTAAGTTGCAATGACACACCGCAACCACAAGAGGTCCTTGAGCTAACAGTCATGAATATGCACAAACAAATGAAAGTCTTATCGGTCCAGTAGTACATGAGATCAGACTCGCCCAAAAACATGATCTCCCAAAAGACTCTAAAGATAAGATACATTTATAAACAATACAATTAATGATGTTGTATCTTCCTCTGCATACAGAGGCAGCGTACGGAGAGGGAATCTACTTTGCGGGCACGGTGAAGAAGGCCATGGAGGTCTGGAAGGAGCAGGAGCATCCAAAGGAGGAGTATCTGTACTTCGTGGAAGCCGAGGTGCTGACAGGAATATCGACCCGTGGGACACCTGGCCTCATCCTGCCTCCTCCTGTGAGGGAAGATCCTCTTCTTCTGCACGACAGCGTGAGCGGAGGACCTGATGTCTCCGTCATCTTTAGTGGTTATCAAGCTCTGCCCACGTACATCATCACCTGTAAGAGGTACTGAAGGGGTTTCTGTAGTCTATCTGCCAGCTCAAACAGTCCTGTTGTGAAACCGGAAATGTTTAGTTCCCAAAGTCAGAAATGTAAAGTACGGGTCCTCCGCACATAGAACTGCCGGATGCTAACTTCAATATGTTGGGCAATTTGCACAAATAGCATATGCAGACAACAGCTGAAAAATGGCTTGGCTGATTTAGACAATTTTGGTGTGGTTTAGAGGTTATTGAGAATGTTGAAACTATTTTTAAGATTTAAAATGGCTGTTTTGAATCCCCAAAAACTTTTAAATATACCTAAAATGTATCGAATATTGGCACTTCCTAGTTAAAACTACCATTTTTTTCATCCTGAAAATGTCAAAAATCTATTCAACATCCTCAATAACCCCCTAAACAACTCCAAAATTGTCCAAATCGTCCGAGCCATTTTTTTGCTATTGGTTGCATATGCTTATTAATGCAAAGCACCCGTACTATACATTTCTACCAATTCAACTTTGAGGTACTCAAGATTTCCGGGTTCATAATGCTGGCAAGTACACTACCACCGTGTCAAATGGAACAAATAATAAAATGCTTCCAGTTTGGACGTTCCTTTTTCTAAAGCAAGCCTAAGTGCATTCTTGATGAATGAATTTCCTGTTAGAAGTTAATGGCTGTTTGCATTACTTATCAGCTAAATCCTTAGTATCAAGTTAATTTTTTCATTAGGTTTGTCTGTCACTGAGCGATTAAGATATATTTAGCAGCACTATCACTCAATCAGAGATTGTCTTTTTAAAATTGCACAGCGAAAGTATATTTCTTTTTGATCAGTCATTTGTTTAGTGGAGCTATATATCCAAACACATGTACCAGTGATTGACATACGCATTTATTCTGGAAGGAGAGGGAATAATAATGTAACACTGAATATAACAGGTGAAAAGCTTTGGCTACAAATTCATGATTTTAAATGTTAAACAATAACATGGGAATTGTTGCTGGTGTGTTGGAGCACATGGGGTAGCTGATGAAAAGTTCCTGGTTGTGATTCAAATATTAAACAATGTTTCATTTACCTGTATTCTTTGCTTTTTGGACCTTTCCTACTTGTGCAGCCATGATTACCTGTCATTTATAAATGAATTAAACTTAACAAAAATACCTGATCCAGCTAAATGGATTTATTGAAATGAAATACAAACATGTACATGTAACAGTAAACAAAATGCACTACATGTGTGGAGATACAGTTTAAATACAGGACATGTGAAAGCCATAATGGAAAGTCCTTCATATTCTTAATAACACAATAGATCATCTGTTGGAAAACATCTACTTTGGAAATAATTCCACTCATAATAAATGTAACTCTCAGTTAGTATCTGGGACATTTCAGAATTGGAGGACATTGTCTTTCCTACCTATGAACTTTCAAAGAATAATAAAACAAAAGTTTCGATGTCCTCTAACTCTGGAATGACCCAGCTCTCTGCAGCTGCATCATCAATAATCAGTTGTCACAGGGACCTTGGCATACCTTAATAAGCTAAGTATTTTAATCGATTGGTCAAATGGGTTCATGTTTGAGAATAATAGCTATATTTTACCAGTGCAAGTGAAACATATAACCTCAACCTAGTGACTAGGATTTTATAAAAAACATTATTTATATGTAACCATCTGGCTTTAACATACAAAACGAGACTCATCATTTGACAGCACAACAGGATTTCACACTTCTCTCGAGGATGACGTAAGTCTCCTTATGAGTGATTTACTTTAACTGTTTCTTCTGACTGATAGCATGATTGTCTATGAAGCCGTTACATAGTAGGCAAAGCACCCTCGGGTCTTTTAACACACCTACACCAGTCTGCTAAAAGCTAATACATATTCCTGTAACATCCACCAGTTTTACAAAGACCATTTAACATAGATCCAAACACAGATCACTCCTGAGCAGTGCACGCTGGAATGATGCTACGATAAAGGAATCATCTTCAACCCTGTTATTAAATCCTCCAAATGCGAAAGATTGAAAAAATACAATATAGCGAGCATGATGAGGGAGAATAGGTTGGTTGTTCACAAAATGACTCCAGCGTTTCACACAGAAAGACAACAGAGCTAGGCTGAGTTACATATATATGGCACATCTGGCCTCTAATGCTCATCATATTGCTGAAATTGAACTATTCATATAAAGTACAGCTCAAAATAGATTTTCAGTGTGAAGTAACATCTTTAAGACAGTATTGTTTTTGTTGTTTGGGTGCGGACGTTTGGTTGCACCCTTATTTCTAAAACAGCAGGTTCTATCTTTGCCTATTACTCTTTTAAAGAGAAAGTTCAAATAGTTTGAATTGGGGTTTCACAAGGTAACTATTCAGTCAGTGTATTACCTACAGATGGAGGTTGGCATGCTCTTAGTTTGGGAAACAGACAGGAATAATGGAAAAGGAGTATCTACTGCTGCAGCAATAGATCTTTTAGACACCTAAAATAAAGGACAACCTAAATAGGTAAAGATCAAAACACTGTATTTAGAATGTTTTCACCACTTTACATTGCCTCCAAAGAAGAACTGAAGGAGTATCTATGCTCTCTTCAAAGCTACCAGACTCCACAATCAGAACACATGTATTCGGCCCACAGAGGGAAATGAACAATATCACAACAATTAAAAAAAATGTGTTCATGGACAAAAACAGTAAATGTAACCTCCCAGAACAAAGGAGTTGCTGGTCAATCGCTAGTAGGATCGCTTATTGTGAGACTTTGGCTAGTTTTGACTGACTATGGATTCCTTATAAAACTCCACTTTAACACATCCAAACTATCCCTTTACTTACAGAACAACCCTTACAGTACCAATATATGGCTAAATTACGCTCCAAAGCACGGCCATCAAGCCATAGGAGTGTGTATTATTGTCCCTTCAAGGACTCCTCCTCTTCACCCTCTGTCTGTTTCACAGATTCAAAGAGTCTCTGCTTTCATACAAGTGTTCACACACATTCACACAGTCACTCGGTGCACTCGGCTATCTCCGTGCCGTCCACCAGCAGCGTGTGGATGATGCCGTCTCGCCTCTTCCCGCTGCTCACAGCCTTCACGCAGCAGTTGTGGTCCCCCAGCGTGAAATGTGTCTCTGTGCCGTCCTCCACAAACTCCCCCTGCAGGTGCCAAATCAGAAAAGAAAGCAGACAAAGAGAGAAATCGTTTAGTTCCGTATGTTCAGCTCTGGTGATGCTCTATATTCATATCTTGAGGGTGTTAAAGGTGTTTGACCCATAGAAGATGTTGTGTGTAAGGTGCTGTTTATACAACTGTTGATTTCAATTTTCCTTGCCACCACATTTTAAATGACTTCTGCGGTGAATGCTTTTAATGCATATCAAGTCAGTACTTACTGCAGTCTCAATGTTTTGTCCATTACACCAAACATCCATGGTGTCTTTCTCTGAAAAAAAAACAGAGATAGAATCAATTATTCATGTCAATCGTATGTAAAAGTGTATTAGAGTCAATTAGAATCAGGATCATTTATTTAACCCACGGTGAAATTAAAAATTATAATCAAATAAAGATATTTGTATAAACATAAGAAGTTCAAGTCAAAATACTCTACACAAAAGGAAAATATTAAAGATTACAAATTATGTACACAAAAATAAGAACTTCCAGTAAGAAAGTGTAATAAAAAGATACATATAAAATAAAATAGATCAAAAACATTTATATAAACATAAGAAGTTTAGTTTGTTTCTAAGGCTTCCAGTGTTTTACAGAGTATCTCACATTGACTACGTTAACATGATATGACATTTAATAGATAAATGGATAAAAACCAGATAATATAATATTCTGTAAATATAAAATAATGTGAAAGGAGCCATTCTTCATACTGGGAACTTTCACTTTAATCCTTTAAGAACATTTCACTGTTCACATTTCACTTCATATTATTCTGAAACTTGAGTATTTTAAGAACATGGTATTTATACTTAGGTTAAGGATCAGAGTACTTTATCCACTTCAGCTGCTGTTACATGCACATATTTCTACCACTTCAGTAAGTGATTTACATTAGTAAGGGTTGAAATGTATACATCTTTACTGCACACTAATGTACAGTTGAAATGTGTTGTGCATGCTACAGATGGCTGCTGCCTGATCAGCTGGAAACAGTACAGTCAGAAGAAGGATTAACATGTCCAGATGACAGAGGTGTCTGAAGATGGCGCTGGGCTTAAAGCTGCTAAAGAGCTTATCCTCAGCAGCAACATTATATTAGTGAATGGGTGGAAATCAATGCTACACATACATTCAAAGCTTATCCTGATTGATTGTGTGAACAACGTATACATCGCAGACACTAATGAATGTATCATTAAATGAGGACAGTGTGTGACTAATATAGAAACTCACCCAGCACCACCCTGCTGTCAGTACCGTCCAAGTTAAGAACCCAGGTGCTGGTGACCTTTGACCTGTTCTCCATGTACTTCTTCAGGCTCTTCCCGTTGATCTCCAATGTGTACTCATAGGCAAACCCGCTGACGGCATCAATGTTTATGGTGGCTTTGGTGTCCGACTTGCCCACATTGAATGTCTCCTTCCCCACAAGTTTGAACATCCAGTCCCGTCTCAGTAACTCCTGAAGTGTGATGGGGACAAATCAGGAATGAACAGCTGTAATTATAAGTTGTCATGATAATAAAATAGTTCTCTCTTTCACGTGGTTAGCAAGTAGCATGATTAGGGATGTGTAACGGGAACGAGAATGATCCATACCTTTCCATCTACCAAGATGACCCTCTTCCCGGTGGTCGTGCCGTGTTCAAACTCTATCCTGTGGACTCCATCACTCAGTGCCACCTCCCACACACCGGCAAGATCATTCGACATTGTTCCTTCTTCTTCTTCTATGGACAAACGACAAAACTACACTTCTAAATGTCGAGGCAAATGCATGACTGTTTTACGCTGTTTACCTAACTAGCTAAGGTTGCTTAGCTAACAACAAAGACGCATACTAAGAATTTCTAGTGCATGTTTTAGTGTATCAGCACCTGTAGACTATGCGTTTTAAGTTTAGTAGTTGGAGTGAATATTATTAAAACATAAACATGAGTTTACTCGTCGTAAAAACATGGCTGAAGATAACGTGGAAAGTTAGCGCTGTTTGTTACAGTACGACTTCCGGTGGCGAGCGTTAACTTTAAAAATTAAAGGCAGTGTTTCAAATAACTAAATATGTTTAATGGTAAAAATGTGTTAAGTTACTCTCGCTTGTTTCCTTAAAAAAAGCATGCATCCAATTTAGAGGCGCAATAGAATCTCCATACATATTTTTCTTATATTACTTTTTTGACATTGTTTGAAGTAGTGAGGAAATGTCACACAAGTAGCCAAATGTTTGTAGGTCCTTTTTTGAGTATTCCCATGTTTTGCAATTGTATAATTGTCTGTTACATTGAGGAGGCTAACTACTGTTGAGTTAGATTACATACAAACATAAATCAATACATTGTGTTTACTGTTTGAATCCACTAATTTAATGTACACCTGAATGTATCAATAATTACATTTCAGTTATTTAATATGTATCTGATATGTATATGTATATATGAATCTGAAATTGACACATTTGCTGTTTGCAAAAAAGCTGGACACAATAAATGATTTTATTTCGAAAAGTAAACGGAAGCATAACTGCGTCAGCCACCCGATAGCTTTATATCTTTTCAGTAGCTCTCAACGACCGCTAATGCTACATTATTTGCTATGAGAGTATAACCTTACACTTTAAATACATATTATCATCCTTCTTGAAACATGTGGCTCACCTGAATGCTCCCAAAGTAAGCGGTCTGGCTCAGTAGGTAAACAATTATCCACAGGCTACTTTAGCGCAGCTTACTCACAGCTAACGCTAGTTGGTTAGCTACAGCACAGAGTCAACAGATGAGATGTGACTATATGCTGTCGCTATGGTAACATGATGAACAGTGTTGACCACGCCCACTCTGGAAATGGCAGTTTCCACATCCACGCCATAATAAGAGATCCATGCATTCAAGGAGTTTAAACTAAGTATAGTGTGTTGATTGTTGGAGCCCCTCTTATTGTTCTAATGGTAAAACATGTATTTGGGAACTGGTGAAAAGTATGCAATTACTCTTATCTACAAAATAAAGTCATTAAACGTGAACAAGGGTGTCAAAATGAGGGTTAAAGGAGGTGGTTTAGGTTGCAATATCTTCAGAATAATAAAATAACATCGGGTGAATCACTCGTTTATAACAGTTTATTATTATTGTTCTCCACACATTTTTAGGATGAAATAATAAACCTATCTATTACATTCAATTAAGCTAACAGCTTTAGAACCAAACTAAACGACATAATGAAAAATTAAAAAACATTTAAAATAGCTGAAATGAAAATGAATCATCAAATAAGAACGATTTTGCTGAATACTCTTCTTCCTCTATTTATTTCTTATTTTTTGATCAGATAAAGCATTCCTGTCTGTCATCTTCTTTTCTCACTTTTCTTTGCACAATGAAAGGACTTTCATTACCGCAGTTATTTCACATAAAAAAAACAGAAATTCATCATATTATGCACACATAATCTCCAGGACACATAGCATACTGACTATATGTGCAATTAAACAGAATGAGTATGTTTATTTGGCCTTTTTTTGAACATTTTATTATGAGGTTCTGGTAATGATGGTTTCGTTTTATTTTTTGTGGCTTGTGATGCATGTTATGACAACGTAAAAGGATTAAAATGTGCTGATACGCTGGACACAAGAACACAAACAGGTCTGTATGAAAGGTAAAAACATCCCTAATGACATCCGCAAAGTTTCAGACTCTTTTCCCCTCTTGTACTTTATACCTACACGCACACTATATTACCATAAACATTGGTGAAATCAATCATATCTAATGTATGAGAAAAATACTTTTTGTTTCTCTCATACATTAGATATTATTGATTTCACCTGGAAAGTTCAAAACAAGAAGATGGCTCTCAGTCAAGACCATAACGTCACAGAATCATGAACAAAGAAAGGAGATTATTAAAATACATTATTTTTATGAAAAACAACACAATCTTTTTAAAGAATAGGCTACAATAACAACAACATCTATAATGGCACCGGTTTTCAAAATTGAAAAAGTATGGCATTCTATCAAACTAGTCAATGGCTGTGCAGCTTTTCATTAACTACCTTGAATGCATACCCCATTCTCTCAATTGCCAACAGATTTTGTATGCGGTTGAATGATTTTTTTCCTTTATGTGCTTGTTGGTCTCAATAATTTCCCTTCAAAGAGGCTTCAAAAGACATTAAAAGCAAGACTATATGTTTTAATTCAATCTTAAGCTATGGGATACAAATTGTGGTTGCGGCAGGATCCTAAAGCAAACATCCAGCTGAAGCTTTGAAGCAACTTTCCAATTTAACTTTAGTAAAAGCTATGTGAACCATAATTATCCTTAGTATCATTTGTTAGGCCAATTAAACACTATAGTTTGGAGAATAAGATAATTTCCTTTTTTATTTAAGAAAATACTATTCTAATGCAGATGTACATAAGCTTACAGCCAGAAGCTACTTAGCATAAAGATAAGAAAAGGGTAGCTACCCTTGCACTGTCTGTAAGAAAAGGTCCTCCCCATACTCAAAATCAGCACCTAAAGTCAAGCGGTTTTACTGCTCCTGGCAAAAAAATGTTGCTAAATACAAAGCTGCATTACCTTAAACCTGCATTCTTTCTAATGCCCAGCAGGGGTTGCAAGAAGAGGTCTGATTGTATAGAAGTCTATGAGAAAATGACCCTACTTCTCACTTATTTATTACCTCAACAAACATTTTTGTGACAAGATTACTGGCTAGATCTTTACATATAAGTCATCCTTAATAATGCATGGCGTAACAAACTTAAATGTTGGTCCCATTTAAAGTGAATTAAACAAAAAAGCAGCTTATGCTTTTGGGAATGGCTACCTTGTGATTGACAGGTACGCTGCCACACGTTCTAGGGTTCGGATAATGTCCCTGTTTTTATAATAGAACTATTGAGCCTTTTCTCAGTCTGTTTTTAGTTTGCAAAAGTTAATTGTGTCTTTAAAATGTCGATGCTACATACCATGTTTAACAGCCAGCAGGCATTGGATTTTCTACTTTTAGACAGAGCTAGGCTACCTGTTTACACCTATTATTTCTAGATGGAGGTGTTTCTAGATCTGATGCTCCCTGCACTGCTCTCAGTGCCCCTCCTGTAAGCCCTCTGGAGCCTCTTGCTGATAATGCCGTGTTTGTGAAGAGCTGAGAGAAACTGGTTACGGAACTTCTCCCCAACGAACGCATACAGCACCGGATTCACTGCACAGTGCAGAAATGCCATCACTTGGGTCACATGTAACATCACTTCCACTATGTAGTGAGTTTCACACGACTTTAGTGGAATTGTCCCGCCTCGTATGAGCGTGTCAATCAGGACAGTGATGTTATAAGGCAACCAGCAGACAACAAAGGCCAACACTACTGCCAGGATGATGTGAATGGCCTTGTGCTTTTGCTGATTACGTGTGTGAAACAGTTTCACCACAATCCAGCCGTAGCAGACAGCCATCATCACCAGTGGCAGGAAGAAGCCCAGTGTATGGCGCATTACTCGCATGCTAACACGCCAGTGGTCGCTGCTTTCACCAGTTAGGTTTTCGTAGCAAATACTATGGTTCAATTCATCAGCATGCATGCTCTCCTTTTGAATTACAACAGGTAAGGACAGCATACCAGCCACCAGCCACACCAAACTGCACACCACTTTCACCAACCAGTGTTTGGAGGGCTGGACACGTGTAGCTCTCACAATGGCAAAGTGACGGTCCATACTGATGCAGACAAGCAGGAAGACACCACTGTAGACCGAAGCTTCTTGAAAGCCTGACAGGAGTTTGCACAGGAAGTTGCCGAAGATCCAGCCAAAATGAGCGTTGACGGCCCAGAATGGTAGGGTCAGACTGAAGAGAAGGTCAGCCATCGCCAGGTGCATCAGGTAGATATCTGTGCTGGTTCTCCCTTTGTTCATGTAACAAACCACATAGACCACCACACTGTTGCCTACAACACTGAGGAAAAACACGACGAGGAAAGTGATCATTATGCCCAAGTTGTTAAATCCATGAACAATTACACTGCAAGGAGCAGATGCTTCATTCTCATACACTGGAGATGTAGAATTGTAGATGGAATTGAAGTAATCTTCATCCCACGAAAATCCTTCTGTGGTCAGCAGCTGAAATAGTAAAGTAAATTGAAGAGTTTTAGGCAAGTAAAAGGACAACAGGATAATACTGTTAAAGCTATACTAGGCACTCTGTTATGACTCTTATAAGCCTTAATCACAGAGTAAGGTTCTTCCAAAACAGAGTTTTTTTACAAATTCTGAAGTGCATGCACTTCCCAGATGGCCAAAGCCTGATTTAACAGCAGGAAAAAGCTATTTCCGCATTAGCTGGCTAAACTGTAAAGCAAACACAAAAGGACAAAGACTGACAATAAACACGTTTCAGAGATGGAGAGAAAAGTTGCTAGTAGCTTAGCCTTCTGCTAACTGTAACCGTTTTTTTGCTAGCTTGAGTCTCGAATAACAATATGGCACATAAAGGGCTTTACAGGCCTACAGGTATGCAAAGAAAGCAGAAAGGTAATTTTGCAATATTTTTGCCGTACTCTCCCAAAGTAAAAATATTTAAGTAAGGTGTTGTTACATGTAATTAATTTACTTGATCAGGGAGAGTGAGAGTGTTTTTTCTACTTTCAGTAAGAAACTGAATGAGCCTACTTCCCAACATTTTACAAAAATTGACAAACTTAGTTGAAAAAGTTGAATATTGACTTCTCTTCCTTTTAAAACCTCGTAACCAACTTCAATTATTGTTTCAAGTTTTTAAACAAATCAGACTTATATTACCATCACCATTCAACATAATTACATCTCACTTCATCGTAATAGCATACATTTACTGTGCTATTATTATAATTATTATTATCATCTACACAATAACTTCATTTTTTTCACGTTTAACACAAATTGAAATGGAAGATTTTAATACGAATAACCTTACTATAACTTAAAAAAACAAATATTCAGATAGTTCCATTGTTTACCTGTTTCTCTTCTTCTTGATTGGTTGAAACCAAATAATTAAAAATACTGATGATCAAAAGTTGTAGCTTCATTTTTCCTTTCGTGTTGCACAAAGGTTAACAAGAATACAGCTATTTTGCTAGGAGTGTTGTCTTTACTTGTTGATGTGGTTCTAGTCCTTGTGTAACATCTGTACCGAGGAAGGTATTTGACACACACCACAGATATTATCTCTGTTAAGCAATACACAGTTTGATCTTACAGTTAGATGTGGATGTGACAGGAAGTTGAGTTGAACCTGCAACGAAAAGCTGATACAAAAATACAACAACAGCCAGTATTCTTCTTTTCTTTTTTTTGTATTGTTTCACTTTACGTTTTAAAAAATGTGGGCACTTTTGAAACACAGGAAACAAGTGACGCACCTTGAAATAGTTTAAACTTTAAAGTGTTCAAAGAGTAAGGCAAGGCAAGTTTATTTATATAGCACTTTTCAACACAAGGCAATTCAAAGTGCTTTACAAAAATGAAAAACATTAAGAACATAAAACACATTAGAAACATTAAAAAGCAAAGATAATAAAACATGAATACATGAATAAAAGTTACAGTGCAGTGAAAGATGTGAATAGTTCAATTAAAAATACTTTTTACTTTTTTACTTTTATATTAAAATGTTAATTTGCTACATATCCACACAAACAAACAAAGTGTGCAATCCAATGAATGTTAATCTAACTGGGTTTTGATAGATAACATATCTCTTTTTCTTCTCTCAATTATTTAATTTATTTTGTGCACTCTAATCAATATTAATCAAACTATTGTTCGTTTATACATTTTAAGAATGGCGTTTATCTTTTTTGAGAATTAGTTCTTATTTGATTTTATTTATTTGGGTCTACAACAGATGATACAAATGTTTGTGTCAGTAAATGTGTACTAACAGAGGCGGGGGTGTGTGTGGAAATAACGGGGACAGAGCTGGCTGTCACTACCCTATCTGCAGCTCTGCCCGATCTGCAGTGCGCATGTGCGAGATGGTCCGCCATATTGGACAACTCCAGACGGCAGCCCAAGTGGGCTGACACAGTGGCCGTTTCTCAATCTCGAGGATACTGGCTTCCAAGCCAATATTTCAAGGATACTACGTCATCGAGTGCCGCCGAAGGACTGTTCCAATCTCCAGCATACTTGGAATTCCACCGAGGCCGCGTCCTTGGTTTGGGGGAAATGTCGAGGCTGCACATGGGTAGACTTCGAGTCCTTAAAATCCCCACAATGCTTTGTGCACGGACCAATTTCAAAAACCCTTGCGGAGAATGGCTGAACCGACGCAGCACACATTTAAATGTAAGTATGTAGTGGCGTAGAACATGTGTTGGTAAATATGTTACATTTGTTTGTTATCACCAAAAATGTGTTCCGTGAAAGTAAAGCAAGTTCATAATTAGATAGACATCGTGAGGTATTTATTTTTGGTACAGTTTATGTTGAAACCGTTAGAGAGAGTGGCACACTTGTTAGCCTGTTCCATTCTTCTTCGTTTTCCATAGCCGTGGCTTGAAAGTATACTTGCTTCGTTTCTGAAGGAAGTGACTTGGAAGTACGCGACTACCAAGCCGAGAAGGGTCTAGCTGCGGCCGCGGACAGTACACGAAGGTACACGACGGTACACAACACGCCCAGTACTCAAGTTGAGGGGGGATGAGGGGGGATGGCATCCCCCCTGAAATAAAAACGGTCAAAATCATCCCCCTTCTAAAACTGCCATTCCCCCTTTCCATCCCTTATGTAATTGTATCAATGAACGTGGCACTGGTATTACTGCTATTTCAATATTAATTTTGCGCATTTTGAGTAAAATACTCAAAGGGAGCACGCACACACGCAATGACATTTTTACCAAGGCACTGACGCTATACTATGCGAATGCCCTAGAGGGCGCCAGAGCGCCGTGATGCGCCTGTTTGATCGATGCCAGAAGCGCAGGTAACGGTCATCACAATGGCCAAGCGACCAGGAGGACAACGCGATCTGAGGGACTTCATATTTAAAAATACTAAAAAATTACATTTCAGGTAAGTCAAGAATCAGTAATCTTAGTCATTACTCACTACTTTAGTCACCAAAGGTGGAATCTATGGACATACTGTAAGCAGCAATAACAACTTAGTTTGGAGTTATACGTTTTTCTCTCGTGTTAGCTAGCTGGTAAGACTCACAACTGTTGATGAAATGATACCACCAGCACCAGAAGAGCTGAAACCCCTCCTTCAAGCAGTGACCACTCTGGTCATCTCCACAGACACACATCTATATGATGAATTGGAAATGGGGGACCCTGATGTAAACAAGACGAAAGTCTTTCTCTGGTCTGCATCCCCTTAACAATTGTATGTTTTGAGCTGTACTGTACTGTACTGTACTGTACCCAATATACAAGCTGTTAATAAACTGTTCAATCAATCAATCAATCAATCAATCAATCAATCAATCAATCAATCAATCAATCAATCAACAGCTGAGTGTGAACGTGGGTTTAGTCAGATGAACATTTTAACCACAACTAGAAGCTCCCTAGAGGTAAAAAGCATGTCAGCCTTGCTTTTCATCAAGTGTGTTGGCCCTCCACTGAACAAGTTCAGACCAGAGGTATATGTCAAGACTTGGCTTCAAAGCCATTGCTTAGCTAACAATCCGAAAGCAAGAGCCAGAAAAATTGAGACCAAAAAGCATGATTATGAAAATCTTTGTAAACTTCTATGAGATGGGGGAGAGTGGAGTAGGCAGCCATTGACAACATTGGTCCTATTTTGTATTATCTGTATAATCTTTTAATATATTTTCATATTCTGTAAACAATTTCAATTTGCACTTAATGCCCTGTTAAAAAAAGTAACATTGGGAATGTTAACATAAAATATTTGTATTTGAACTGCAATAAAATGATGACGGATCAATATTTTTCTAATTTTTTTCCTCTAATTTTTCATGAAGAATTTACATAATGATTTAATTAATTAAGATACAAATGTAACCCTTTAGATACCAGTTTTGATCGTATACCAGCAACTGCTTTTTTGAAAAAATACACTATAATTCAATATTCTAAAAACTATTTGGACTTTATTATTAGTATAATCAGTTGATCCATCTGAATAATAAACGAGGGACTGTTAACCTACAAGATTTGTACCATAGACTTCCATTATAACCACATTTTTGTATCCCCTCCCCCCCTTTAAATTAAAGTGAAAAAAAAGATTTTGCACTAATTGTCCTCTGCATTTGACCCTAAATGTTAGTGGTGCCATGGAAGCCCAGGGACCGACTCTAATTATGAGGTGCCTTGGTCAAGAGCAATGAAAGGAGTATCTGAACATCCATAACATGCATGTTGTTTTAGGAGTATAATAATTATCTTTATGCTGGTTGGTCTCCCACCCTCGGCGGGTTATCAGCACACATTATGTCCCCATATGATAAAATCCACCATCCCCCCTGATTTTTTTTTTACAATTTGAGTACTGGACACGCCCACCTGACACGACACTACGGTGGCTGAGAGGCACTACCGTACATGGCAGATTAAAAGCGAATTGACGACACTACACGACACGCCCCCTACACGACACGCCCACCTGATACGACACTACGGTGGCTGAGAGACCGTACATGGCAGATTAAAAACGAATTGCAAATGTTATTGTAACATTTTAAGCAACTATTAGGCAAATTAATGAATAACCTATCAGTTTGAGAACCCCTTATCCCATTTTGATGGTTGACATCTCATTTGAACAGTGAAAGCCAGAATGACTTTGGTGCGCTTCCTCACTCATGTTCTTGGTGAGGTCATGAGAACAAAGTTCCATCTCACTGATGGGACAAGATGGTATAAAGAAGTCATATGTAATATTTAGGGCCGGGACTTTAACGCGTTAATTAAGATTAATTAATTACACAAAAATTAACGCGTTAAAAAAATTAACGCATTTTAATCGCACTTATTTTTGCACCGCGGAACGTTTCTCACTGGATGAGTTTCAGGCGTACCGATTATACTGGAGCACCAACTAACGTTCATGACTTCAGACAACAACAAACCACAGTGAACAACAGTGGGAAATGTTGTTTTAAAAAACGGACGGATGGAAGCGTCGATAAGAGCATGGTTGTGTGCAAATTATGCAAAACGGAATTCGCATATCACCGCAGCACATCAAGACTCAAGTATCACCTCAATGCAAAACATATAGCAGCTAGCGTGGAAGCTAGCCTCTTTTATCGCGTTCACACCAAAAAGAGCCGGTACTAAAATTAGTTCATGAGAACCTTTTTACCCCCACGAAAGTCCCTGCTAGAGAGCAGAGAGCTGCTAGAGAGCAGGGACTTTCGTACGGCTCTCTTGTGAGAAAAGAGCTATATTTCTGATTGGCTGGGCGGATTGCAAACCACGCCCCGTAAAACTCCCAAAAAGTTTTGTGAAGCCGCCATTTTATTATCCTCGCATTAGCATTATTAGCATTAGCCCAGCGCAGAAACGCAGAGAGACTAACTTATGGCAACACAAAATAAAACATGGGAGTGGTGGAGATGAGGAGGTGTCGGCGTTCTGGCGATTTACTCAGAAGGCTGCTGGGACTCCCAGCAGCTTCTACTGAAGCCAGTCCCCAACTCCGGGGACTTTGGGCGGCAGTATACGCCGTGAAGTGGTTTGCGGCCTGCCAGTAAACCCAAAGCAGAAGAAGAAGAAGTGACGTCAGTGGCTTCATTTGCCTAATCCTCCCCCAGGTTCAAAGAGTTCTCATGAACTAAATTCTCATGAACCTTTGTGGGAAAAGTACTGCGGTGTGAATGCGCCTAATGGTATAATAAAATCCATGTGAAAAAAATGGCTTCTCACTGTTCTTAGGTCAAATATTTATATGTGATTAAAAATGCGATTAATTTCGATTAATTAATTACAAAGCCTCTAATTAATTAGATTAATTTGTTTAATCGAGTCCCGGCCCTAGTAATATTATAAAATCACATGCATCAGGGGTTGTACACTTTAATGTGTCCATTCACTAACCGACTCTTTAGGAAGGAAGCTGTAAGGCCTCCTGTTATAGGAGTGGTCCTCGTCAATGTCCAGGGGC